AGCCAGCTGAGGGAGCAGCGAGGAGGAGGAGAAGCTGGATCTCTCTTCAGCCAGGAGGCAAGGCTGGGGCAGCAGTGCGTGCCCCATCCCCACGATGCAGCAGTGGGATGAGGGCTGCAAGGGGGAGCCCCGGCCTGGACTGGACTGTGCTCCCCCCCATGCTGATGATGGGGGTAATGTGTCCTGTCTCTACCCCGCAGGCTGACAGATGAGGAGCTGATGCGAGCATGCGGGGGCTGCACAGCACACAAGTAAGTGGTTGGTGGGGGCTGCGTGCTTAGGCTCCCCACTCCTGGCAGGGGCTTTTGAGCAGGCTGGGCTGGGGCGGCATGTTCCCTGCCAGGGGTGTGCCCGACCCCAGCTGCCCCCGGTCGTTGCAGGGGTGCCCGTCACGGCCTGACCATGAGAGCCAAGCTGGCACGCCTGGAGGAGCAGGAGCGAGCCTTCCTGGCCACATACCGACACAAGGAGCGGCAGCGTGAGCCCCCAGAGAGCAGCCCCCCCGCAGGGAGGCAGGAAAAAAGGAAGAAGAAAAAAAGGATACAATCCAGGGACAAAGACAATTCTGAGGTGCTGCAGAGCCAGGAGCCAAGTGGAGAAGAGGAGGTGTCAGGAGAGGAAGGGAAGGTTGTGAAGAGGAGGAAGAAGAAGAAGAAGAAGAAGGAGGAAGACAAAGACGAGCCAGTTGACACAGAGAAGAAGAAGCAGGAAAAGAAGGAGGAGGAAGACAAAGAAGAGCCAGTTAACACAGAGGAGGAGAAGGAGAAGAAGAAGAAGAAGCAGGAAAAGGAGGAGGAGGACAAAGAGCTGGCTGAGTCAGAGGTACCTCTGGAAGACACAGATGAGCCAGACCAGGCTGGGCACAGACCCAGGAAGAAGAGAAAGAAGAAGAAGAGGGAGCCAGAGTGAGCAAGGGCCAAGGCTGCCATGTTGTGCAGCTGCTGGTACCGCCTGGCTGTGAGGGTCCCGACCCTGCCTGCTGGTGCTGAAGGGTGCTCAAGGGTGCTCTGGGTTCTTCCCAGGTGGAGCCCAGCGCTGTGGCCCAGCTGTGTGTTCACTGCCTGGGGATGCTGGGCTGGGACTGGTTAGTCTGGAGCTGGATCGAGCTTTATTTAACTCCCTGAGCCCTCCCTCTTGTCAGGGGGGACCCCAGTTCCCACTAGGCCCTAGGGCAGGGACCTATTTGCCATGGGTCTGTCACAGGGGGACACAAGGGGACAGACCCCCCCACAGTATTGAAATACTTTTTCATGGGCATGAATAAACCTTTATTGCAGTGAAACCATCCTGAAGTGCAAGATATGGGGCAGACCCCAGGATCCTGGATTGTGTCTACACCTAGAAGCACTCAGATTAGGTACCAACCCCAAACAGAGCCCACCTGGCAGCTGCCCTGTCAGTCCCAAACTCCTGGGGGCTTTGGTCTGCAGTCAGCTTCGATCCCACTGGCAGATCTGGGTAGGACTGTAGCCCAGTGAGGTGCTGAGCATCCTCCTAGTAGAAAGCTGCAGCCTTGGCAGAATTAGGCCCTGATCTGCTTTGCCAAAGCCTAGCCCGGCACCCCAAGCCTTGCTGAGCCCCAGTCCTAAGTCAGCTGCTGGACGCAGTCTGTCTCAGGGTATGGTGGCAGGTTTAAAGCATATTTCTCCTGGAGCGCGGCGGGCACAAACCTGCCGCCAAGGAAGTGGTAGCGGCCAGCAAAATGCATTGCTGCCTTCTTGGGTGCCGTGAGTGAGATGAGCATGTCGGGCTGGAGACCGTCTGCCTTCCCCTTCTCCACGTCCCAGCCTGCAACAAGGTCCAAGGCTAGGCTGGAGCCAGGGAGACCCTGTCTGAGCACCTTCTTCTGGCGGGTCTGGCTGTTACTCACCCGAGGGGATGTCAATGCTGGCGATGGGCACCGTGATCCGCTCAAGGGTGCTGAGGATGCTGCCGAAGGGCTCCCGCACTGCTCCCTTGAAGCTGAACCCGAAAATCGCATCCACCACCAGGCCATAGAGCTCATCAATGAGTGCAGCCTGCAGCGGGGAAGGCAGTGAGTGAAAAACAGCCCCAGGCATGGCTCCAAGGGCAGCTGCTCCCTTGCTGTCTGCTCCTCACCTCAGCCGGGAACTCGGGGAGGAAGGGGATGTCCATCTTCTGGCACTGGGTGGTCAAACCTTCAAAGAGGGGCTTGTTGGGGCGCTTGGGGTAATACACGGTTGGCTTGTAGCCCTGCAAGAGCAGGAGGGACCTGAACTAGGAGTGGAGAGAGGAGGGGGAACCCCAAAGCCTGTGGGCATGGGGGTGCACAGGGATGGGTGCCCTCCCCCGGGGGAGCATGCAGCCACCTGCCCGAGAGACTCACAAACATTTTCAGGTGCCGGGCGCAGACCAAGCCATCACCGCCGTTGTTCCCCGGCCCACACACAACCAGCACGGCGGGCTGGCTCGTGGTGAAGGAGCTGGGCGGGTAGGCCTGGTGTGGGACAGGAGGCGTAGGGTTATGCTGGGGAAGCAGGGTCCCCCCACAGGGCCGGGACCCCCAGGAC